GGGGAGAACAAAAATACCGTCGCGTTTTGAATCTGGCGCCGCGCAACACCGAAGAACTCGTGGACTCTACGAGTCGTTCAAGGCCGTTCTTCTCAATTAACCCCCTACTGCATGAATTTCATTTTATCCCTGATTATTTATACGTCCATAAATGAATAATTATATAGATGGAAATTTGTATTGCATGGACGAGTAAAGAACTTACGAGGACATGAACTAACAGACTTCAATTTTAATGTGCTCTTGCGGAATGATAGTAGAATGATCCCTCTTGCTGTATGTAAAATATTAGATGTACATGCCCAACACTTTTTAAGATATAAATAATTAAAGTAGAATAATTATAAGGTAACTCTGTATAACGATTATTCACAGGATGTGTTGTAAGTTCATAAGTTTTTGTGTATTTTTGTATCGGAAGAAAGTATTTTAGTAGACTGAATTAATATTAAATTTTACAACACATACTGTGAGTAGTCGTTGTATGTATCTAACTTATTATTATGTCATTTTAATTATTTATATCATAATATGTGTTGAATACCTACGCTTAATATTTTATATACGCCAAAAGGGTTCGCTTTACTATCATTCTGCAAAAGCACATTAAAATCGAAGTCGGACAGTTTGTGTCCTTCGCTTGTTAGATCACTGGCCCGTGAAAGTTTAATATATTTGTATAAATAAGGAATCTATTGGCGTTTCGATTCTTGTCTTGAATCCTCTTTAACATATACGACAATTTATAAATCTGTAAATCTTTGCTCTATTGTAAATTATAAACTATTTTTTTCAATCTTATAGATTATTACACTATTGTATTAATTTTTGTAACAGACAAAATTTTCAATACTTAAACTAATGTTGCTCAGTTTTCAGGCGAGTTAATCTAAAGTTAATAGTTCTTAGTTAGATATCATATTTTTTTTTTTTTAATTTCCAATTTTTATGTCAGCGTTTGACAAAGTAATGTACATGTACAGTAACTGCCGCGACGAATAGCGAGCTAGAGTACAATGTGTTCTGCGAGACTTCAAGCCAGCGGAGGACTGTACGTCCAATTCCAATTTCCAATTTATACAAATATACTACGTTTTTACAGACTAGCGCGGTAAGCTTCTTAATCAATAATCACTCTATACAATAAGTGAATAAATTAAAAAATTTTCTAAACAAATCTTGAAAACTGTCCTCAACGAAATTTCTAGGAACTTTTTCTTTTGGATTCCCGATTGGGCGATTCATGCAATAGAGAATCAATGCGCAACCGCCGATTAATTAGCATAAATTCTAGTGGATCACGCTGCGGGTTCAACGTAGTCGTAAAATCCTACGGCCTTCGATCAAGATTACTCGAGTTTCTCTTCCGAACCGTTCTGAAGTTACAATTATGCACGTCGTGTACCGTTCGTTACCATGTAGTTTAACGACTGAATACCCGATATACGCATTATCTATCATTATTAACCGGTGATAGATAACAATTAATCGTAATAAGAAAATCTGACGATATGATAGGTAGATCGGTCTCGTCGCTGCCACGTATAAAACTCTGCTCGGCTCGCTCGTCCCGCTCGTCGGTCGTTCGATGTCCCTTCGCGTTGCACAATGGTTCAATTAATCCGAAATACGTATGAAATCACATTTTTCATTTTGTCACGAGGCTAGATTATTTTGTATCGCTAACGGTGGCTCGAAAAATGCGACCAAGAACATTACAAATAATTATTCAGATACCAACGGATTGTTCGAATCGACTTAAAGCAACGAATTTGTATTAAAATACTTTTGATTATCTATCTATTGTGTAAGTTTCGTTTTTTTTAGAGGCGTTTTCAAAGTATAAAAGTCTGTACATAAATATAGCACGGTAAATCTGTTTCTATGTATATTGAAACAGCGTTTACGTTTGTATAAAATGAAGCATGTAAATTAATTTAACAAAATAGAAAAGTACGAAACAAATAAAAAATATTTATCAACAGTTAACATTAAATTATTTTATTTGTTTACATAGGATATCTGTTTTAATCAAATATTATTGCCTCTGTTAGTTTTTGAACATTTTCTGCTGTTATTTAACTCTCGAGAACACGAGGAAACTAAAATATAACGTTAAATAAATTTTAATAATCCTCCTTTAATAACAGTATCAATTTGAAAATCAAATTCCTGCGTATCATCGTTTGTATAATAAAAAATGTTGAACCGTTATCGTTACAATTTTTTATAGCGTTTTTCATGGTTCGTACCACTGTGCATCGAGTTTCCAACCCGATGGTTGCATTTGGGAGTCGCGAACGTCGAGACCGCACGGAACTAAAAACACGAAGGCTCTTTCTTTGGGTAACTGGCGTGATTTTCGGTAATCGTATGGCAGTTCGTTCGGTAAACAAACGTGAACTGAAGTTCAATATAAACAGCTAGTTAGTGTATTCCAGAAAAATAGTTTTATACGTCGCAACATGCAATTTGGCTCTGCGTTGCCTCCTCCTGTTACGTCCAATGTTGGAGTTCTCATCGTCATCATTTTGATTATCTTGACATTTGATTTAGAGTTGGTATATTATCACGAAACGCCATGTTTGATTTGTATAGCAATACGTTTTAAAACATGAAATTCAATTGGAATCACAGTTATTGCGAAAATAGATACGTCGAGGTCACACCATATACAGGGTGTTCGGCCACCCTTGGGAAAAATTTTAATGAGAGATTCTAGAGCCCAAAATAAGATGAAAATCGAGAATACTAATTTGTTGATGGAAGCTTCATTAAAAAGTTATTAACGTTCAAAGTTCCGCCCGTAGTGAATTTTTTTTCTCGAAAATGCGCAGAAATTCGGGGGTATGTCTATTCACCAAAAATGATTGTAATTGGCCCCCGCAACAAAAATAATTTTTTCGGAACGATTTGAAATTTTTTAATAACTTTTTAACGAAGCCTCAATCAACAAATTGATATTGTTGATTTTCGTCTTATTTTTGCCTCCAGAATATCCCGTTAAAATTTTTTCCAGGGGTGACCGAACACCCCGTATGCTTTGTGGTTGATTTTCCGACTTGAGCAAGATATTATATTTGAGAAGAGAGAAACCTTAAATTATAACGTATAATTTGTCAATGTTTTTAGTATTTATACTTTCTCTTCACGAACTACATTTTAATTTTCTACAATTCATCATAAGATGTAACATACCACAAGTGAATTTAAATTATATATTCTATCGTTGCACAATTTTATTTGTTACGAATTAGTTATAATTAATTCTCAAATGCATTTCAGTTTTGGATATGAAATTAAATTAAAATCCAACTTTTATATTTTTAATTCATTTGCCAGTAGTTCCTTTTTTATTTTTCCTTATATTTTAGATATTCGACGAACTTTATTTTCATATACCAGGGGTAACTCTAATAACAGAATCGAAAATGTTCAACAATAAAATGTTCGAACCAACTAATTTTCTCTAGAGATATCCCAATATTTCTCACCACGAAATCGGATTCGCGTGCTTTTCGAAAACGTCGTAACATCGGACATCGTCAGAGGAGGAAACACTGTCGTTTGGCACAAAAAACCTTGGCCGTAAACGTCATTTATCGAGCCAGATCATGGCGATCCGACGACGCGAAGGAACTCCTTGGCGGTGACGGCGAACAATGACGTGTAAAATGTAATAATGCGTGTCGTACAACAAGAAAACGACGCTCCTTCGTCCTCTCTCGGCTCGGATCGACGCGAACTGGCAATGATAGGTACTTAATAATGCGTTTACACGATTAAACCTATGTCCATACGCTCGTCACGTTCTCTCGTCCACACGTAGTCTCGCGTCGTACGTACATCTTTCAATAAACGTCTATACGTATGTATATTTATATTTATATTTATATATATATATATATTTATATATACATAAATGCATATGTATGTATTTATTTATGTATATATGTATATACCATTTATCACACACGCATTGTTCACGCATCGATGTGATTATACACCTTTATCAGTTAAAAAACGTATCGCGGCTCCAGTGGTTTTCGTCACATTATTATTTCTCTTTTTTTTCTTTTTTTTTTTTTTAGGTTTTACTTCATTTCTTTTTACGCAACGAATAATTCTCGCGAGATCCACAAAATAGGATTGCACCGGGTGTACATTGATCATCGTAATTAATCCATAATAAAACCTACCGATCGTAATAATAGTAATCAGAGTAAAGGTAATAATAATAGTAGTGTCGTCACGATCGACCCGTCTATCTGGTACGCGGTACGACCAGGTGTTCCTCAGTATCCCTTCGTCCTGCGGACGCTTCTCGTCGATCGTTCCTCTTTCGCGTCATCTTCGTTCCTCCACGTGCATTCCCCCTCGTATATTATGTATACATATACGTACGTGTGTATGTGCGCGTGAACATGTCGGTGTGTCGGTGTGTGCGTGTACGGGTTTTTATTCTCACGGAAATGGCAGTTTAACGTGTCGTTTCGAGTTGCTGGTTGCACATGCACCCACCCCAGGACCATCGAATTCTACTATCGAATTTCGCGACCTGTCGTGTCGCCGACAGCCAGTGTGTTCGTTTGTGTCTTTTGCGTTTTGATTCGTCTCGGTTTGATTCGATTATAATTTATATACAATGTACAAACGCGGCCGGTTGGCAAGGATCCTCGTCGGACAGGCGCGACCATTTTTCGAGTTCGAGTTCGAGTTCGTCGCGGTTACGAGAGTCCTCGTCACACCGTGACACGGCTTTTTCTGTTTCTTTGGGCTTCCAACGTTCGCGTTACCGTGTACAGCGAGACCCGATCGCCGATCTACGACCGTGCTCGAACGATTGTTACGAGCACGGAGGAACTTGAAACGGGGATATTGCGAATCTTCGAGCACGGTAGAGCGACGTTGAAAGCAGCGAGATTAACGGCGAGTCGCGGAGATTCGACTAGCGGCAAACGCGTTGCTCAGGGTTGCGGATCGAGGATTAGCCACAGTCTTTTCGATCGTTGCGATTCACAACTAGCACCGGCGGACCGTCCTACGGTAACTCCGTAGGACGACCTGTCGCGTTTACTTAACGTACTCAGGCTTGTTGTCGCCAATTTTGCCAGTCCAGACGCGCGGGGAAGCCGGCGTCCAGGGCACCGCGACGTCCAGCATCAGGTTGCCGGGTTTCCGCTGGAACGGCGAGAACCTGATCTTCTTCGGACTCTTTGGCGGCGATTCCGCGAACGTGACGCTTCGTCGCGGTCTTCTGGGCGGCGGTGGCGGCGGCGGCGGGGGCACAGCCGCCACCAGGGGCGGCGGCGGAGGCGTGGGCAGGGAGATGGCGGGCGACTCGCTTGGCGACTCCTGGTAATTTACACCTGGGTATGCGTATTGCTGTGTATCTGGTCGCCCTCGGTATTGCCAATCGCGTTTGCCGGAGCGTAGTACTGGAAATTCAACGGTGGTGCGTTTAGCGATGTGCCACTCAGATGTTTAGGACAAATGTATGGAGAACAGAGGGATCGTTCGGAACCGATCTATACTTGCGCACGATGTCAGGGATTTTTATGAAATTTGTTAGCGCGAATTCGAATTTACAAGGCATAAGATGAACGCATCTAAATAATGTATCAACACTTATATCCTATTCGTAATATCATATGTGGTTGATATACTAACCAGCTAAACAATATGCAGGTTGAGTCTCCTAACATGACGACTTCAAATAACTCGTAAGGTATTCGTTGTACGAAAAAATGTTTCAAACAAAAGTTGCATGGTATCTAGAGGGACATACAGTGCTCCAATCTTGCTTTTATTACCTTACTTTTTATTGAGATATTAGGCTCACCTTCAGTTTTTTAAATGGAATGTCTAATGTTTTTTTTCGAATTCGAATAAATCATCAAATTTTGCGTAAAAAAGTATTACACAACGTGGGACTTCAAATGAATAATTTCTGAGATATTTTTTAAACAAATTTTATTTAAAGCGGTGTTCGAAGTGCTGTTCATTACAGTCAATAATTTGAGTGAGAGATTCTAGAGGCCAAAATAAGACGAAAAACAAGAATGTCAATTTGTTGATTGAAGCTTCGTTAAAAAGTTATTAACGTTTAAAGTTCCATCTCGGCATGAATTTTTTCGGCGAAAAAAAAATTTCAAATCGTTCTTGAAAAAATATTTTTAGCTGCGAGGGTCAATTATAATCATTTTTTATGAATAGACATACCCCCGAAATTCTACGTAGTTTCGAGAAAAAAATTCATCGCCGAAAATATAATCTGAGGCCTGAAATGGTTCCCCGAAAATGCAAATCTTTAAACCATCATAACTTCTGAACGGATTGGAGGATTTTAATGTTTAAAAAGGCAAACAACGCGTATTTTGGTGTAGAATATGTAGAAATTCCAAAAATATTCGAAAAGTTGTTCCTTGTTCCCCCAAAATGAAATAATCAAACGTCTATAACTCCTGCAATAGTGAATGTCTTTCAATGAAATTTTTTTCTGAAGTAGTGCTCATGGGTACCTACAAAAAACTATTACACAACTTTCCTGTAGGGCGTCAAGTAAAATTATTAAAAATGAAAAACAAATTTTTAAGAGTTATTGACAGGGGGTAGGTGTCAATTTCAATCATCTTTGGTGAATAGACACATTCACCAAATCTTAGGCATTTTTAAGAAAAAAATTCGTGTAGGTAGACAAATTTTATTAATAATTTTGTTCATTTTGTTGAGAGCATATGTTCACACAATATTATTTTCTTACTTTTGTTTGTAAAACACGCTGGCAAGTTTATGCCGGAAAAAACTGGGACACCCTGTATGTATTTCTTCTGTTTCTTTTTTAATTCATGTTTTACGTTGCATGACCTTCGGGTCATTAGCGACGACTTTCTATATGTTTCTGTGACATCAAGGCTATAGATGATGTTATCTTATATTTTTGTCTTTGGACGATGTATCTTCTGCATTGTTGCAGGTTGGTGGTTCGGTTTTTTTCATTAGGTACTCGTGTGTGAGTTTACAGTGTCCAGTTCGTAGCCTTGTCATGATTATTCGGTCTTTCCTCTTCACATTATTGGTGGGTAATGGTTGATAAAAATCTCGTGTTATTTCGTGCGTTTTTGTTTTTTTTGGACGAGATCCATAATGCAACATTCCAGTAGCTACTTTTAGGGTGGCATTTTGGATCGGGTCTATCATTTTAGTTAACAGTTAATTAAACTGTTGAACAATAGTCTAGTTTGGATCGTATTAATGCCTGATAGGTTTTTATTATAATTTCCTGATCGACTCTCCAGCTGTTGTTTGCTAGAGCTTTTATAATGTTCATTTTTCTTGTGCATGAAGTTTTTAGATGCTTCATATGCGGCACCCATGTTAATTTCTGGTAAAAAGTAAGTTCAAGTATCCTATACTTGAAAAGCCATATACAATTATAAATTTTGCTATTACTAGTCAGCAATTTTTTCGCAAACTGTACAAATTAAATGAAATGAAAGAGGAAATCGTTTTACAGTTTCTTACAACCAATAAGAGAGTGTATAACAATTTTGCATATCTACATAATTTTTCGAGAAATGAAGCTGATTTTAATTTTTTAAATGAAATGCCATATATTTTTTTATGTCATTTGAAAGCGTTTCTCAAGATGAACTCATTCGTGTACTATATGACGACCTTCAAAGTCACACAAGACCAAGAATGAAGAAAATATTTGTAATGTTTTGTAACATTTTATTTACGAATATTTCTTTCTGATACGTCTTGGCTCGTACAACGTGACTGAATACGTTGTTCTCATTTATTTTCAGAGTGTTTACATCTATTTCTACTTCTATTGAGCAATTTCAATTCTACAAAGTTGATATACACTGTTCTATTGGCTGCAAGAAACTGTAAAGCTTTTCCCTCGTTCATTTTTTTCTAATTAAAATAGTTTTCGACAAAAAATTGCTGGTCAGTAATAGCGTGAATACTTTGTATAACTAATTTCTTCTTTCCCCGAAATCTTTTAATATACGACGTATCCACAAACTTTCCTACGTAGTTTCCGCAAGAGCGATATATTCCACCTTCGTTGATGATAGTTCATATACCTCGTCTGTGATGATAGTGCTACACTTGTATGTTTCTTGCAACTCTAACTTATCGACTTGCTATGAAAAGTTAGAATACAAAGTGTTAAAATTGTATTAGTCGTGTTAAATAGAGATTAATAGGTAATCATTCCAGATAAAAACAAAAACATTTCAAGTCAGTATAATTAACAATCCTTGAGCTTAAATTATATTTATAGCTCATGTTTACTTAAACAAATTCGAAATTAGTAAGATGAAAGTCCAAACACTCCATCTCCTAATTTAACATGGACTATATCTTAAATTTCATTAGAATCTCTGACATCGAGCACACAAAATGGTCGATTTGGCGTGAAATAACCTAGAAGTGGTCGGTGTGCGTTTATTCTTAGACGATTGACTGCGGATGTTTATACCAATTTTCATTCGTGTTTGGAAACAAACGAAAAACCGGCATCAATATATATTTCGTTGTTCGTAGATGTACGAACATTAAATTGCTTATTTTACTGCTTCAGGATAAATTGTCACTAGATTGAGAATTTTATGCTTTTGTCGTGTAGGCGTGTATGAAGAACATATACTAATCGTGTGAAAAGCACGAGAACAATTATTTTTATTATATAAAATCAAACATATTCTTCATATATGTTGTACGTTTTCCATATTAGTATATGTCATACGTGCATAAAATATTAAGACAGTCACTAGCAGAGTACACAATTCTATTATTTTTACCATTTTGCGAAGGTTGTTTATGAGATGTTAAAGAGATTTTAAAATCAACTTCAACTTTCGTTTTAGACAAAATATTTTATTTTTTACCTCATAATGTAACAGCTCCTTCCAAGTCGCTCGAGTCAACGATCTATTCTCTAAGGATATTCAATAACATATTAAATAACATATTATTTTCCCTGAGAACATCTTGTTGCATAACTTAGACCTTTAAAAAAAAAATTAAGCAACACTACCACGTACATTCTATATATTTTTTGTATGTTTCGGCACAATTCCAGTATTTTCTACAGATGATGTAATAAACGTCCGCAATCAATTGATAACCATTGTGATGAGAAAAATTTATAGAAAGTGTGTCGAGAGGAAATATGCGATTAAACGATGTCAGGAACGAATCATCCAGTCGCGAGAAGATGATGGAAACAATGGTGCCTTCGATAGTTTTTTAAGAACCTTAAATTATTTCGAATGCCCTAAACGAGTCTTCCAGTTGATAAGTGTGTGTGTGTGTGTGGTAAGAGTGAGTGTGTTTCTCTAGGTGCATAAGATTCTTCTTTGTTTTCATGCTATCGTCCTGACCTTTGTGCAAAATATTCGTTTCGTAAGAAAGAATGGCGTCTTCCGGTTGTCACGAGAAGGGCAGAATGAAAGAGATTTTATTTCGCGTATTATACGTCTAATGTGTAAGCGTTGCGATCTTTGAAAGCGACATGCGACTCGACAAACCACGCCTTGCTTACGCGAATTGCTAGAAAATTGCCCGAAGCCATGCACATTTCACGCTTGTAAAACTAGCATCTCATGATAACCAAAGCTGTCGTAACGACGAAAGAACTACAGAACCGAAGGAGCAGGTAGACATCGTCCGTGTTCATTTACAATGCACGTTAATATTCAATAACTAAATGCTGCTCTCCATTTTGTGTGAATCCTTTTCTTCTCCAGGATTTAAACAGTGAACTGCGCAATCGATGCGATCAGAATTTGAAGGAATTTTCGATAACGATTTTCTGTCAACACTTTCATTTTGACTTTTATGGTGGTTGGTCGATCTTACGAGAACAATAATATCTTTAAATAGACAAATGTAGTAGTGCTTATTGTCGAATTGTTCGAATGTAAGAAAGAAATGACGTGAAAATGCGATGAAAGTGAGAAACTGACAAGTGATGAACTCTTAATGGCAATGTGTAGATCGATGACTGTCGAAGAAAATGCATCGTCAGTTATCGTAAAAGTGAATTGATTATTTGCGATTGGCTGATCACTTTGGAGATTTCGTTTTTTATTTGCAACTTTGAAACAAAATATAAACAACATTCGAGTAACACGGTACTTGAATCGTTAAGTTTCGGTTCTATAAATCGAACATTCTGTTTGTTTTACCTTTTTGAATAAGGAATTTTTAATTAAACTGATTAGAAATATATGACATAGCAAATGTTAAATTTATTTATAAACATTATCGATGTTTTATCGGCCATTTTCCGATAACAAAATAACGATTCGTAATACGTGAATTTAATACAAAATACAAAATTGTTTATAATTAATGGTATAGAGACAAATAATTTAATTAAAATCATTCTTCCTGATGAAAGAAGAACGTTTGCACAATGATATAGGTTAAATATGGTAAAAATGAGGTAAAGATATTAATATGATCGAAGTGTAATCGTTGCCTAATAATTCACTTTGCTTTCCATTTTTATGTGTTCATATTGCTTTACGTTTTATTGACCGCTTAATATTATCTTAAGATAACCAAAAATAGGTCGAGAACATCTATATAGGGCGTTCGGCCACCCCAGGGAAAAATAAGACGAAAATCAAGAATATCAATTTCTTGATTATGGCTTCGTTAAAAAGTTATTGAAAAATTTCAAATTATTCTGAAAAAATTATATTTGTTACACGAGTCAATTACAATCATTTATGGTGAATAGACATATTCCCGAAATCCTGCGTATTTTCGAGAAAAACATTTAATACTTGAGTAACTTTAAAAGTTAATAACTTTTTAACGAATCTTCAATCAACAAATTGGTATTCTTCATTTTCGTCTTATTTTGGCCTCTAGAATCTTCCATTAAAATTTTACCCTGTATAAGTAACATTTGCTTTGTCAATAAATGATTTCTTGTTAGTTCATGAAAATCATCGTTTCGTTCGAAGAACTTGGCAATTCTTAAAAATACAAAATATTATTTTTTTCGTTTAAAATTAACTTTCCGATTGCACGGTTTTCAATAACTCAAAATGCAATCTTAAACATTGCACAAATTATACATCTCAAATAACATGAAACATAATCCCCAAGTTTATATAAACCATGTGTCTAAAATAATACGAAATCAATTGACCGTATCACTCGAGGGTCTGATGTATTTCCAATTGTAAGTCGTATAAGTAGAACAGGATCGTTTCAGTCAGACAAGTCAAATGTCGAACGTTCTTGGCCAAGCAATCAGAAACATGGTCACTGAACATTCCGTTGCAATCTCGTTGCTAAAATGTTTTTTATATTCCGCCATTCAGCCAATCAGGGATAATTTCGATAGGAGCGAAATACCCTCGTCGCGACGAGTTGCACGCGGTAGAACGCCATCGATGAGGGCTCGATCCATCGACGTTCCGTCGCGCCCAAGGCAACAGGAAAGAAAATTGGGACGGAGACGGGTGCTACTTAAAGCCGTGTACACAAGAAGCGGGGAGGATGAACGATGCAGAATGATACGTATAGAAAATCGGGAATTAAAATTAAGGGCGAGAGTACTCACATATGGTCCCGGGAAAGGCGCATGCATCCTCCGTCTAACTCTGCAGTCCGTACCACTAGAGACAAAAACATAAGTAGAACGAAACGCGCAAACGAGCAAATACGTCTTCTGCATCCATCGAGTACAAACAGAGAAAGTGAAAGACAGAGAGGTAGATAGATAGAGATAGAAAAGAGCGCAACAGATCCAGCCAGCCGCACATCGCACGCATTTACGTATATATGTATGTATAATATGCTATATTCGTATCTATGTATACACGACACATCGACGACGATCGCTGATCGTCTATTGGTCGGCCATGTTGTTAGACAACGCTCGAGAACCCATCCCCCGTCCAAAATTCTCGACGCTCGGTCGTCTTTCAACCACAATGTATGTCGAGCGTGTACACGCTGCTAACTGCATGCCAAACGTACTCTATTGTATGTTTCTATGTATACGTATATAGCTATATATAAATATGTATTACACGAATATGTATAATGGTGATCTTTCGTTACGTATGTATGTACACGATGTACACGACATCGCGCTTGGCTACAGACCGGCGGAGGATGAAAACGTTCGCTCAAACAGTGACAAAGTATATACGTAGACAAGGAAAACGATCAGACCCTTTAAGGGGAAATCATATGGAGTACAAACTACTTTACGAAATGTTCAACAATTAGATAAAGAGGTGGAGAGTCTTTAAAGACAAAATACAGTTGTTCCTCTGAACAATTTTCTTCTCTATAAGCGTTAATACTTTTTTGAAAGACCCTGTATCGTCTTGGTCGTCAGATATTGCGAAGATGGAGTGTAACGTTTGACCCAATACGACTATTTTCGCTATTCTTTCCGATACTGACCCTACATTTTCCTTAGGACACGATCTACGGCGCTGTTGTTGGATTTAAAGAATGGAACGTTTCGTTTCATCCCCGCTCGTCCGTCACCAGCGCGTTTCTACGGACTCTAGTCGCGGCGTACGCGTGCGATCGATCACAAAAATCTAAGAGCGATAGCAAGTGATCGCGTCACTCACCCGGCCATTGTCGAAATCTCGGCCGCCGCCGATCGTCAGTCGAGCTTTCGCCTTCATCGCGTCCGACAACGGTATCTGGAAAAGTGAACGTTAATTACCCACGACTGGACCATTTTATCCGGAAATTATTGGTAAACGCAGTCCCCTCTGAAACCTTGTCATACATTCTATGGGGAATTTAACACCTACACTACTGTATGCGACTGAGAAGTTAGGGGGTTCTAGAGTAACGAGATTAGAAAATAGGTGATTTTCATACATCATTTTTTAAGAAAACTATTCGTGATATTTAAATAAAATATTTTAAAATGTTCGTAAAATACAGAAAAAGTATACTTTTTAAATATTCTAATTCGTATATGTATACGTACAGGTTTCCGATAGCCAAAAGTAAAATTTCATAAAGGCAAATAATTTACACCGAGATTATACCTATTTCTAAAACAAACACGAAGAATTGCAATTCCAGCGTTTGAAAAAAGCAAATTCTTTTTTAAACAAAAATCGATTTTATATGTGAATTTTAGAAATCGAAAATAGAATTAAAATGATGAGTTTAACTCTTGGAGAATTTCATAATAAATTGAATAAACTTTATGTGAAGTTGATTGATCTACATATTAAACAAACAAAAATGTGTTTGCCAATGTTACTGTTAAAAAATATCGGAACAGTTTGATCTACCATTCTTGGACCATAAAGTCTTTCTCTTTCTTAGAAAGGGTCTATTAAGTCGATTTTTTATTTTATGGGCCGTACGGGAATCGTTAGTTTTCTCTAAGCCACTTTGCTATTAATAGCTGTTTTTCATTAACAGCGAATACTTTAAATTATGACATCCATAGTATTTCGGATGATACAGATTGGTTAAAACAGCCTATTCAGTTCTGCATTAACTCCTTGCAGTACAATTATGATATTACAATCAACACATTATTACATTCGCAGAATATTCGTAAAACAAGTCTGTTTTTTTGTGAGTATTGCACGAACGAATAAATTGAAACAAAATGAAATAATATACGTATGAAAAATTACTTGTAATTAAATTGTACACCAAGGAGTTAATATGTATATGCCATTATAAATCATTTAGAAACAGTTCAGTGAAACATCGAGTGTGTTTTAAATAAATTTCGCCATATTTATAAAACGTATACAATAATATTCATCAATATTTCACTGCTTCCTTTGCGGTTTCAGTATTTCAATGTACACGTAGCGATTCAACAGATAGATTTATCGTATTTACATTGACCGCATTAATGAATCAATTATTACCTTCGCTCTAGTAGCTTCCGTGTGCGATTTATAACAAAACTCAAGTAGGGCGACGGCCAGTGCTAATAGAAGGCCACCAATGAGGATGTAGAATATCCCTGCCACGTTGCTGAGGGACAATTCGTTTCTCGAGGCATCTTGTTTGTCACCATGCCTGCATTCCGTTCTGTCGTACCACCATCGATTCACCAATTTCGCTAACTCGCCATTTTCCTTCAGCGACAGCACTGCCAGGTTTATCGGATCTCTGTAACGTTGGAAACATTAATGCCAAGGATTCAAATAGAATCTTAACATGATTGGGTTTACGATACGTGACTTCTTCGCTAGCTTTGAGAATTAAGAATTTTTTAAACATTTGCAGCAATTAGTCGTTTTATTATTAATAAAGGAATCTTCAAACTCCACGCGGGACTTGGAATGTTATGGGCAATACAGATAAAATATTATTTTATGAATATGGTCGCTTTAAGAAATTAAATGTGTCGAGAAATCTTAATTAATTTTTTAACTATTCAACTCCTTTTGTCACTAGGACAATCACTAGGACAAAGACAGGAATAAAGAATGGGTAATAAATTAACCCAGGGATTGTGCAATGTCCTGCAGACCTTCATTTGCAGGATGAAACAAACCAGGCTGGGGGCATTGCACAATCCAAAAATTGTTCAAAATTCGGATTGGGCAGGACAAGGCCCAATCGATGCCTTCAAGAAGAGACTAAGAGGGAGATACGGATTCTTCCTCCAGGACAGGACAGTGGACATTGGCAGAATTCGTTGTATTCTCGAAGTACTTGGACATTTGTCAGAATTAGTTGGATTTTTAACTGAATCACTTGGATATTCAGAACTTGGACATTTTGAGCTTGCTTTCGCACCGGACGCGAATAGAACAAGCGTTACTTTTAAACTTTGACTGTATTACTAGATCACCTAACAAGTAATCGGAATAGTAAATATTTGTTATTGTTAGTGGTTTGAATAAATTGTTTTTTGTAAATCAACAAGATAATTGATTTGCTACATAATTCAATTCCCCGAACTATATACGAAATTAACGATAATCCAAAATAAGGAAACAAAAACTATCGAATGATCCATAATACATAATCGATATGCAAATGTGAGTTAGATTCGATATAAAATGAAAATCGCACAGACTTATGAACCAATTTAATATATTTAGCAAGAAATGGTTGTTTCGTGATTACTAAAATATTAAAGATAATTAATGTTCACCTGAGTGGAGATCCCAGCGGCGTCGCAACGCCGAAGCCTTTGGCGTCAAGGTTGTTCCCGACTTTCATCGTGTCGCAGGGCTCCCTCTCGTTGATGTACTCGTTTTTAGGGCTCTCTATTAGAAGAGCGTATTTCCCTTTGCTGGTCCTTACCCTTCGTATGCCCTCGTCGTACGTTTTGACGAACACGTGGCTCCGCGAGTTCATAAACTCCCACATCTTGGTGTAAAGGTTGATTTTCGAGTTCTGGAAGAGAAGCGGTTCGACGGAGTTCTTCACATTAGGTCTGTTCTTCTTTTCCTCGTGAATGGCTACTTACGCGAAAAAAATCCCAAGTGGATCCGTGAGAGAGCGTGCCGTATTGCACTTCCGTTTGCGAAGCCAAGTCTTCTGGCGAGTTGATCGGCGCCACCATTCTTTCGACAGTTAAAAACGCAGCTAGGTTCGCGGTGTAAGAGGAGATCAGGATCAGAGTGAAGAACCACCAGACACTGCCAACTATCCGTCCTGATATCGATCTGTCAAATATGATATCGATATACAAGGAGTTTCGAAGAAAATGGTTACAAACGGTTAACCCTTTGCGGTCCTACGTCAAGTTGGATTCTGAGACATAACATTTTTTAACTAGTTTTGTACCTATCTTCTCATAATACAGTTCGATCCATCTGACAATTGTATCATCAGTATTTTAAATATAATTCAAGACAAGATCAGTTTTAGTATGCTTCAACCATTAAGTCTAAGGAAAAAGAAGAGGAACGTGTTATACATATACAGGGTGTTCGGCAACCCCTGGGAAAAATTTTAATGCAAGATTCTAGAGGCCAAAATAAGATGAAAATCAAGAATATCAATTTCTTGACGGAGGCTTCCTTAAAAAGTTATTAAAAAATTAAATTAAAAAATTTCAAATCATTCTGAAAAAATTATTTTTGGTTGCGGGGCTCAATTACAATCATTTTTGGTGAATACACATATCCCTGAATTCCTATTCACTTTCGAGAAAAAAATTCAGGTAGGTGAACAAAGTCGACAAAATTAAAAAATTTCAAATCGTTCTGGAAAAATTTTTTTCGGTTGCGAAGGTCAATTGCAACCATTTTTGGTGAATAGACATACCCCCGAAATCCTGCGCATTTTCGAGAAAAAAATTCAGTATGGGAGGAACTTTAAACGTTAATAACTTTTTAACGAAGCCTCCATCAACAAATTAGTATTCTTGATTTTCGTCCCGTTTTGGCCTCTAGAATCTCCCGTTACAATTTTTCCCAAGGGTGGCCGAACACCCTGTAGAGGGTAGTACGCGTGATATAACCGGGCAGAGGATGATTCTACATGGAAAAATAAACAAAAAAATGTAACAATATTTTTTCGTTCGAGGCCCTGGTCTCGAGAAAATCGAGTTTGAAATTGGGTATGCGTGCAACAGTATCGGACGTGCCAGTTAAACAGTGTTCAATCGCACGTGTGCCCCGCAAATTTTCAAATTCATTTATCTCGAAAACGAAGGCTCGAACAAAAAAATGTCATTCGTCCTTTTTAACTTATTTTTATATGTAGAATCATTCTCTGTCCGGTTTTATCACTCGTTCCCACTCTATATAATAAACATAAGAAAGAAAGCTCGAGTTTCACGTTGTAGAATATTTTAAGATTTTCCATTTATATTAAATATCTATTGCTATGAATGTTCACTAGTACAATAACAGTTTAACTAATTCGTTGTTTTTGTCTACGATCAAAGGTGCAAATAATCCATTCTTACCTCTGACTTCGGGCAATCAATGTACTCAAATGGGTATATCCCGTATATACTAAATAATAAATCAAATAAAAAAACAAATTAATTAAATCAAATAAGTACAGATATTATTTAGGGTAACAATAGAATCAGCCAAATTATGTATGGCCCTGTTAAAGCGAAATATCAAAAATGTTTCGGACCGCAAAGGGTTAAGACTGACAGTGTTTGTTTGAACGAGTAGAAAAGACTTAATATCCGCATTGAAAATTGATATTTATCGTAACGTGAAAGGGATATTCTCTCATTCGAAGGTTAATTTTTACTTTTCGCCGTAATCGTTACTATTGACCGTACTTTCAACAGCCTTTGTTTGTCTAGGGAGACATATCTCTGTTTTCTGATTCTTAAACATTTTAAGCTCACGGTACACTTTAAAATAACATTCGTTATTTTGTTTACACTTATGGTACAGTGTAATCCCGAACAAGATGGTCTACTTTTTTAAAAAGTATCAGTACATAATAAATATAATTATTACTCTATAATATAACTAAAATAATATATTTGTAAAAGTAAATAATGTGAAATCAGAATGGCAATGTAGAATTGAAGTATAATTTTTGGTTTAAAGAAAAAGATTCATTAGTTCAAGATGCCATGATCAAGGAACAAAATACATATTTTGGAAATAATAATAATAATTCTGCTTCGACCAGCTAACAAATAAATGTATTATAATATTTTAAATATGAGTATAAAATCTTAAAATGAAATAATAAAAAAAAAATAATACATTATATCATAGCCATTTTATAAATTTTCACATATTGGAACTTTTAGTCTCGGTCTCGTCTACCTCGTTTCGTTTCTTCCTTCTTTCTCGAGGTGTACGTTGTAATCGTGTTACACAGAGTACGTCCGACAGATACGACCGTATTTAATAATGAAATTTAACATCCCGCCCACGCGAAATCGCGGAACAGGCAGTCACGTAGGAGAAGAAGCAAGCTGAGAACAGCGACGTGGATGCAGAGGACAGAAGGTTCCACAAAGTTTTGCAATTCATATCGTCGCCGTGCGAATATTTAAACCATTAATCAAGGAGGCTACCGCGATGGGGTGGCACGACGGATACGGCGAAATGTAAATTAATGAAAGGTTTCTCTCCTTTTTTATTGATGTTTATGACCAACAATGAATTCTAGAATCATAAATTTATTGCATATAATTTCTTTATTGCAACATGACGTTTCGATTGTCCAGCATGGGATCTCCTCCTCGGGTAATTCTCTAAAATTCTGTTGAGAACGATTAAATACAAACGATGCAAAGAGAAGAAAAAGTAAGTCTAATTAGGTAACGGAAATAAATGCTACAACCGTTTAATTATGAGTTGAAGAATAAGATTACGCAAACGAACAAACTTATGTGTTACCATTTTCATAATCGTTGATGAAAATTTGACAATTCAGCGAGATGCGAGGTTATCAATTTTCATGAAACCTCTTGTTGGGAATTTTGTGAGAAAATGAATTGTTACCTGGGCGATATATCACAGCCTTGCTGCATGAACGCAGCCAATGCGAACCAGAGGCTGTTGATGATACTAAAGTCATTGGCCATGCTCGAGGTGGGCATGTGTGGCGATCCTTGAGACGCGTGTGGATGCTGCAACGTGGGATCGTTCCTCACTGATGGATCTCCGCCACTGCTCAGCGTTAATACTCTCCATTCGTACGGGGAGAATCTGCACACCAAAGTATAGCAAACGTTGCATCCTTGTGTGCATAAGTTTGTTATAAATCAAAAAACTAAATTATAATCGAATACAAATTTGATATCGATAGTGGCTATGATCTTGAAATAAATGATAAGAGTAAAGTGGTAAATAAAAAAAAGAATTAAATACTTAGTTATTATTATACATAGTTTGCTAAAAAAAAGGAAAAATTATCATTTTGAGTTTGTCCTGTTTATATTTCAGATCAACGAGATATTTAAATTAATTTATTATTTACTATATTACTTTTATCATTCGTTTCTATATCGTATTCTCCTACTTTCACTTTTTTTTACCTATGTTATAATTTATAAAACTTTAATCTTTCAGCATATAAGTATCTTCTATTGCATACACAACAAGATATAATAAGTTTTTTAATATTTCGGTTTAGATTTATTTCTACAAGCTTCAATTTTTATTATTATTATTTAATTTTCAATTTTCTTACTATATTATATTCATTGTGTTAACACTTATTACTTTATGTTTTGGAATTGCAGAGCCTTAGGAAAGGCTGTTTACATACAGCTGTCGAAAGTTTATATTATTGTGCTTTTAAAACATTGTACGCACTGATATTTTCAATTATTCTCGTATGTTTTCTTTAAATTACTTACCAGTAAAAAAGTTATTAAATTTTTTCAAGGTATTTTTCATATATTTGGTGGTAAAATTGTTAGTCGAAAGTGTAAGGTTCCTTTTACAATTCTATCCGGAATAAGATTTTGACTTCAACTTTGAAACCTAATTTCCTTAACTGTACTCTTTTTCTAAAAAAATATTTACCTGGACACGGTAAATAGAACGATGGACACGCCGATATACGAAAAGATCACGCACACCCAGATCTCCTTGCTTAACGGGTTTAAAAAGCTAAATACTCCAGGCTTCTGTTTCACCGGTTTCTTTATCATAATACTGATACCCAGAGACATGAAAGGTTTGCTGAAATCGATCACTCGCTCGCGTTCGGATGTGATTGTCATAGGAGCGATGGCAATGTCTGCTTCCTGAAAAAGTATATAATTGTCAAAAATAACATTTACTTATGTAATAATAACGCATATCACCTGGAAGATTCATATTAATAACACTGTTCTTACCTATATGGTTCGAAGGCGAAATTTAAATAAAAATAGAAATTAAAAGACAAAACTTAAATAATAACAGTTAACAATACATGAAAAAAATCGTGTTTCTTTAGTTGTTTTCACTTGTTAACGTTCATAGAAATAATTAAACATAGTTCCTCCCAGCTAAGTCATAATAGTCATTAGCAATTAGTTGCTAAATTTAATTTTTCGTACTTTTAAGATGTTCGTGTTGTTTAAATACAAAGACGAATAATTATATATTTAAAAAATAATAAATAAACTATATAAATTATATAAATAAAAATAAATGGTATCGTAATTAAATAATAAGTCAGATAATAAAATATTTTCCTATTCCACATCAACAATTTAATTTTGAATTCAATAATTTTAATTATTTATCAAAATAATTCAGGGGGCGTAATCGAAAACATAAATAAATATTTAGGAACTAAGGGATTGCTTGAATCGGCTTATAAAACTACTATGTTTATTTATCTGGTATGAAATGCTTAATTTTAATCAAATTTATTTTTATTTCAATCGAGTACAAGTAAGGAAGAAATGCGTTTCCTTTTTTTAAAGCTCGACCATTACGTGTAGTTCGAAGTGCACCAAAAGCACACGAAGAACTTGCAAGCACAAGCTACCTTGATGGGGGAGTTTCGATCAATAATGGAATTTTTCATGCAACTAGATGAAATCGCTCGAATTGGGGTTGCATGCTAGTCGTTAAAGTGTTCTGTTTCGAAAGTGTCCTTTGGATCCTGGAAACTATTACAAAAAGATCAATCAATACTTACTTTGCGAATCAGCTCGCCGACCATTCCATCCCAACTGTTGTTTCTATTTCTCATGCCGTATTTGCCATCCTTCACGATCCGTAGCTCGTCTGAAAAATCCAAGGAAAGACGATCGATCGAGTCATTGATAACAGTTTTTTGATTATTAACCTAAACGAAAACACTGGTGGAGAGTGTAGGCTCGCAGACTTTTTAATCACAAACGAATATAGTTCATCTTTTATTTGCTACTTTTTTGGTTTTTTCCAACTTTTCAATCTACTTTTAATGCTATAATCAAAGAACTAACAGGGGAACATCGCGAATTCAGGAGAATTCAATTTTGCAAAAAAAAAAAAATGATTTTTTCAACAAAATTTACACGCAGCTTTATAGACCTCAAGAAACGTTATAACTTCTGTTTCTACTATATTTTGAAATCTTTTGTTGTTTAGGACTTATAAGCACGTACATAGAAAGGGCAGTTGGGATAAAAGGGTTGATATCTCCCTCAGATAAGTCTTCTTAGATAAGTCTAATAAATATTTATGCAAAGTTTCATCAAAATCGTAGTGTATCAGTTCGCGATGCTCCCTTGTAAGTTTTTTAAATAAAAAATAGCAGTGCCACTATGGGAAAGTTCGTCCATTCTAGCATCAGGATATTACGAAAGATGAATTTTAATAGAATATCGGTCGATAGAATCAACTTAATAAAATATTGCAGAGGACTTACACGTTATTCCCAGTTTCTTCGCTATGAGATCAGCAAGATCTTTGCAATAACCCTCGTAGCTATCGTTGCCCACAAGTGTTTCTCCCGTGTCTGATTTCTTCTTCATGATGTACGGTTCCTCCTGCATCGAGGAACGCCGGAGACTCGTTAATTTCGTGCGGCAAGAATATGCGTATTTACTGCGGTAAGCGTTACATTAATCTGCAGAGCAATTTCTTACCACGATCGTGGTGACAATGTAAGTTTTGTTCTCCTCGATTTCCGAGTGCGGTCGAAGTCGAATGTATTTCGCTGCTACCCCTTGGAATCCAGCCTCGTCCGTCCATTCTGCGACCTTCGAAGAAAAATTATGAATCATAGATGTTATACTTTCGGGAGTACTTAAATCTAGAATTTCGAACTGATGTATTTCGATAAATTCGACTTATTTTTTAGAACATTAGTGCCACCGATGCCTACGTTATTTGTAATTTTATCACGAGAGACTAACATCACCATTATTAATTCACTACTAAGGCGCTGGCATATATCGTATCCTGCTAGTTCTGTTCTTTTCATCCTTTCGTAAATAAATAAATCGATCGAACTCGATACTTCGAGTTGCCTTCGGATAGAGCACTGTAAAAACTTTCATGCTCCGAAGAACGTTTACGACGTATCATTTCTTTTACTTCGTATCGTATGTATGGAATGTTTTTCTAACATGAACGAGTAGAATTTTCAATAGAACAAGTATATATGTATGTATAAAAGTGTCCTATAGTTATAAAGAGTGAAAGATATTTTAAACTTTTATCCTGTTTTGTATATTTGATTAATAGTTGCCATTAAAGGAGATAGTGAATTTTTTAATGGTGCAGTTTATCTCCGTGTTTCCTAAAATATTGTAAAACCGGGAAGCGTATACTTTAGGAAAAATAGAAGTGCAAAGTCAAAGAAATATGTGGCAAATTAGTAGCGGGGAAAAATATTTACTTTCACCATGGCGCTGTTAACTGTCATTTCGACGACATGAAGGGTGTAATTGTGTCTTCGACCGTCATCGTTAAAGCGAATTTCCCCCGTCAATCCCTCGATTTCGACCTGGTAATAAAATATAAAAAACATCAGTTATAAAAATTTCATATGTTTTTAGATTTATTTTATTAGATTTTTAGACTTAATATTTGTCCAGAGTTTGATTGTTCAAAGGAAGCCGTTAGGGTAATTTCGAATCACTTTATCCTTGGAAAAGTATGTTTCCAATATCATTCAATTTCAATGAAATTGTATTCACGATGAACCTGCTAAACTGTACTATAATGTACCTTAAATAACCTTTCTATCTGCAAAAATATTATATTTATCTAGTTTTTGAAGAGAATGGTACTCATAGCGAAGTATTTTGACTTGACAAATAACATTTATATTTAGATATAATTAGTGAAAAGTTATTTTAAGCAAATAATGTTCTTATCGTGTAGTTATTTTTACTGGTTGTAGTTGGTAGCGTTGGGACGGGGAATATGAGGGGGAATCCCGTGGTAGAGTGGCCGGTAGTGTGTAATGACGTTGTGAGGGAACACGTGTAGAAATATCTACATATGTACGTTCATTGTTAAAATAGAAATAAATGTGTTGAAATAATAATGAGTTGTTTAGAATTGTTTAGAGTGTACTAAAAACACAACCCCAACACTTGTGCGCCCAATAATGGTGGCATGCACTTTATAATGAGTTTACCATAGAAAATTTGGAAACCTTGTTAAAGTTTGCCTGACGTCCTCGAATATCGCTCGTCTCAAAGCTTCTTTCGTTACTTGTTCGTGTTTTCCCTACTGAAAAGAATTTGCGTCTCCTGTTGCTAACGATTTCTCTGCTATTGGCAGGTTTCCGTGTTTGATTTTGTCGCGCAACAAGCCGTCGAAGAGTGGAAAAGGGGAGGAGGACTTCCGGTGTGACTGTTGCCGTACATATACGTATGTACATGAACTGGCGAATGTAGAAGAACGATCTGACGTAGACGCAGGAATTCCGTTAGAGTCGGAATAAACCGCCAATTACTGTCAGGAGCAGAGAGACGTTGGAAAGGGTCCCTGGCAATTTCGGTCGTCACGGTATTCGAAACGTATTGAGTATTTCTGCGCCTCTTCCCGCGCTTCGGTAATTTCAGGACGAATCATCATCCTCGTGGTATCAACAACATTGAAGTTAATCCGTGAAATATTAACTGCACGTAGTCTGTCCAATGATACACCCCTGGCCAATATTATGAGTTCACTTCATTTTTTGGCTCGTTTATTGCGACAGCTAGAACTATTGCTTTTTTTTTAAATATACGAAAGATAAACTATTTTGCATCGAGATTTTACAGGTACGTGTATTTCTTATAAGTAGACTGCGGATGTTTATGCATTTATGGGAAATTTTAATTCTCAAAAAACTACAGAATGCACTTAACACGCAAGAATATAAGAAATACTTAAAGTAAGGTACGAATTATTATATCTAGGGGTTGAGACAACCCTCTACAAAGCTACAATTTCAATAATTTTATTAACAAAAATATGAATTTGCATGAAGATCCGCAGTCTACTTATAAGTATGTACAGTACTGTTATAGCTTCTTGTTTAGTGGCTCCTCCAAAATAGATGCTTTGACAATTTTCCAGACTCTTTCCAGACAGACAATTCGACGGAAATTTATTTCTCCATTCAACATTTAAACTAATTCTGTCAATCCTTGTTTCTATAACCAGGTACCATTTTCTAAAATACGACGGATGTTTCTTAAATTTATTTGCACCTACGTTTTCTCAGCGATTTGTCTCGTAGTTCTCTTAAAATTCGAAGCAATTTGCAAAATTCTCAGTTCTCATACAAGATTTCCCACTTTTTTTAGTTTTTCCATGGCTTTTGGATTTGTTGAAACATATAGTATAATGACTTCCGTCTAATACGTATGCAATTTTGTCAATCGTATAATTTTCTGACTGCAACATTATTATTCATTCCATTATGCGTTTATCTAACAATTTTCGATGACCCATTGCTTAAATTCCTTTTAAATAAATGCAATTATATTGTAAATAAATGCTAGGTTTTCGCTTTTGTATTGACCTCCAGTTACCGACAGAAATCGTAAGAATCGTAAATTGGCTAATCGTCTTATAATTTTTTCGTGTATACACATTTTTTCTAATTTCTGCGATATATGTCCTTCCAATATGAAATTTTAATACTCATTCTGTAGATATCACGTGCCATGTGATATATATAAAACGTAGATTTTCTTATTTTAAACATAGAGAATATAGAAATATGTTTTCGTCCACTTCTCTACTGCTAGCCAATATTATATGTTTACTTCATTTTTGTCTTGTTTATTGTGATAGTTAGAACTATTGCTGTTTCCTTTTGCAGTATTATGTAAAAATACACGAAAAATAAAACTGTGAGAAAAAATTTTGCAATATTTACATAAAGAATGACTTGTTAACCTTTTTGAGAAAAGTGCTGTTTGCAGGATGGACAAAACTATAAGTTGAATTATAAAAAAAACATGCGTTTATAAACTATTTACAATGAAAATTGTTTCCAATAATTACTTAACGCTCTATTATGATTAAATAGTTGAAAAATTCTCATTTTTATGCTGTCTAATGAGTTTTCCATCAAACGCAATTGAAACTTCTTCAGTCTTCGGAAAATTTTATTGAGATCAGAACTAACTGTTTAATTTATTTAAAAAAATGAAAGAAGCTAAATATAGGATAGATCACTTATTTTGAACTCGCTTGAAATGGACTGTTACTGTTATATCGTAATAAATAATGCTACTTAGAAGAAAAGTCTGACATTTATTTATTCTTATAAAACTCGAATAATTTGTACTGATATCGAAATAATTTAAAAATGCCTAAAGGGGAAAAATTAACAAAGTTCGAAAAGGATCAGATAAGTGCTAAAACATGTTGCGAGAGAACTGAACCGTTCATTACGTGTCATTAACACTTTAAATATGATATTAAAAGAATCTAGTAGTCGTCCATAAAAATTAACTTCATGAACCACACGCCAAATAGTGAATATAAATTTAAATATTTTATACTGCACAGTTCGAAGAGTTTTATAGAAAAGTCCAATAATTAAACGGGTAAAAATGAGAAAAGTACCGTGCTTAAAAGAAATACATAAAATTCGGCGTTTAATATTCGTTCGTGAAGACATGAGTATGAATTGGAACACGCTACACCTTTATCGTATCTGCATATAATTTGTCTCCTACCTTTTCTTTAAAATTTGCATTTATGATTTTCTAGTTCATCTGGATCAACGAAAAAAAATTTAATTCAGATGGACCAGATGGTCTCCATTCATATTGACATGATATTCGAAGAGAAAAAGATTTTTGTGACGTGTTAATTTGGCGGAAGCAGTGTAATGATGTTGGGAGGTTTTAGTACATCAGAAAAGCTCTCAATTACTTTTATCATTAAAAGAATGAATAGTGAAGAATATCAAAGAGTTTTAGAAACATATTCATTGAGAATTCCGACGACAATGAAATAATAACGTGTTCTTCCTCTTATAAGGGAATTACTAACAACGAATTAGCATACACCGACTTTTGAAACTTTTATTTAGAACAGCGGTGCTCAAATAGAAAAGTCATATCATAGTAAATAAGTCATACCTACATACTGTAATAAAAATGAATTTTCTATTTTTAGTATGCTGTCTACAAGTAAAACTAAACAAAGTAAAATGTTAGCTGCGTGTAAGCCTGCAATTACAGGAAAAAATTGTGTGGCGTCGCCTCCCATGTTCGCCACCAGAGGGGTCGCGCTCTCACAAGCGCTCGGCCGACCCCTCGGTTGCTATACATATACAGGGTGGCCCACACAATTGTTTCAAGTCATAACTCCGTTATTATTGCATTTACGCAAAAATGCCAAAGGAGAAAGATAAATGGTTCGAAGAGCACTACATCTGTAGGCTTTTAAATTTTTTTTAGATGCAGCAGTGCATGTGCCATTAACAATTGCATCATTTCTTTAAATAGAAATGCATATTTTTTTTTTACACAGATCGATTCTTCTGTTCATTCTACGTATAAAATGATTAGGGTACCATGGCAAAAAAATTATTAGATCTCGAGATATTTTCAAAAAATGTCTATTGAAGAAGATGCTGTTATTGCTGTACATTCCAGTATGATTCTTTCTCTCAGATTCTCTACAGAATCTATGGGATTTGAATAAATTCTATCTTTCAAATAACTCCACAGAAAAAGCCCTGGGACGTTATTACACCCGAATCAAATATCTCTCTATTGCCTCAGCTCCACTACTATAATTCTTATTAGACTCTGATGTTAATATTTTTGTTCAGTAGTAACATACTTAGGTTTCGAATTCACTCACCTTTCTTAGTTGCCTGGAAATTTTGTCGCCGTACTCGAACGGTGTCACCCATCCATGACTGTTATTGCAATCCAGCGTCCGGGTGCCATTCGTAATCTGACTGCTGCTAGCAACTCCAGTCCTCCTCACGTTACTCCTGTCCGGTTTTTTCCTCAGAAACTTGTTGAACGCCTCAACGAGAACAAATACGGCGTCGTACATCAGCGCCGCTTGTGCCTAATGGGTGGAAGATTGTTGGATGAGTATTAGAGTCTCACCAACGATCGCCATAATTTTCGTTTCGATGTGACAACAAAAAAAAAAAAGAACGTGCAGCTCGTGGCGTTTTTCAAGAAACGACAATCGAATTAAATTGTATCACAAATTTCCTTAACTTGTACAGTTGTTCTGCGATGTCACAGTGAAAGCCTGAAACTTTGGTGCACGAAAACACTTAAATGTTCTCTCACCAATTGTTCTCATAAACTTTTAACTCGTTTCTTTTCAACCGTATACAGGGTGTTCGGCCAGCCCTGGGAAAAATTGTAATGGGAGATGCTAGAGACCAAAATAGGACGAAACCCAAGAATACCAATTTGTTGATGGAGGCTTCGTTAAAAAGTTATTAACAATTAAGTTCAAAAATTTCAAATAGTTCTGGAAAAATTATTTTCGACTGAAGGGATTAACTACAATCATTTTTGGTCATTAGACATACACTCGAAATCCTACTCACTTTCAAGAAAAAAATTCGAGAAGTTGTGAAATTCGACAAAATTAAAAAATTTCAAATCGTTCTGAAAAAATTATTTTTGGTTGCAGGGGTCAATTATAATCATTTTTGGTCAATAGACATATTGCCGAAATCCTATCCACTTTTGAGAAAAAAATTCAGTACGGGCGGAACTTTAAACGTTAATAACTTTTTAACGAAGCCTTTAACAACAATTTGGTATTCTTGATTTTCGTCCTATTTTGGCCTCTAGCATCTCCCATTACAATTTATTCCCAGGAGTGGCCGAACACCCTGTATAATATTAAATCAAATATATTCATAATATCAAGAATTTGTTTCTGAGATAACGAAGATCCAGAGATAACTAGCAAACACGGTGGATAAATGTTCACCTACTAGCTGCGTAGTCTCTAATGAAAAATTGGAAGAAAGGAATAGGAAGAAAATTGTAGATTCTAAAGCCTCTAAGTTTTATTTCCTAGGCACCAGTCGAAAAAGAAAACTTCTTGGACGAAAAAATAATCGTTTTAGCGGACAAACTGCACGTCACTCCGAAGCGTTTCCCATGGAATGGAGTGTTTTAGAGCGCTATATCCGCGCAAGATTGATCTCCATCTTGCTGTGAGTCATACACACAGCACCAACAAGTTATTCAGAAATAGAGTAAGAAAAAAGTGGCATTTGAAGTTTATTCAGGTTGAATCGTATACATATACTGGGGCGATGTTGTACACAAGAAATAAATTAATAAAATCAGTCACTGACAATATAGGATTTATGAAAGAATCGAATGTTATAGCTATATATCGAGTAATAATGAACAAAATTTAATTATCGATGAAACCATTCTCAATTCATTCTTAGCTCTTACTGCTGCCTTAACAATTTTGTAGAGACACTAAAGAATTTTTTAAACAAATTCTTTATAGTTCTTCACGAGAAGTTTAAGAATCGAACAAATTACAACTAGGTCTTTTCGAATATGTAATTAAATATATTACTCTATTATAACGCAACCCCGTTTCACTTTGTAGATATTTTTATTAAACTAGGAATATAAATTGTACATTCCTGGTCTGATCGATACATTCCGCTTCAAAAAGCAATAACGAAATTTTTTTAATTGAGATCGCAGATCGTATGGACCAAGTATAAAGTAAAATCGATCGATGCGTGAGATATTTGCCAGCATATTCTAATTTTAATTTGAAACGCTATAAAAAGATGCTTATTCCCTCTACAAATCTTACACTAATTTTGTTATTTTAATTATTACTTTATAAATTTCTCATGGGTGACAAATTTAAAAGCACTGAATTTATTGTCACCCACCTTAAATATATAATTCTAATTTGTTATGCTTCCCTACTCATCCCGTTCATTTGTAAATATTTCTCCTACCAATTTTCTCTATATCTCCGTAAAGTATGTTCTTTTCCTCACCTAGTATCATTATATAAAAAATTTGGTTTCGATTCCTGTTTAGCATATCTGTGGCGACACTTCCCTTACTCGTCACCAGAGGGGCTGTTCTCTTGCAAGCGCTCGACCGTTTACCCGTTCCTATACTGGGTGTTCGGTCACCCCTGGGAAAAATTTCAATGGAAGATTCTAGAGGCCAAAATAAGACGAATTCTTGATTTTTGTCTTATTTTGACCTGTAAAATTTCCCATTAAAACTTTTGCCCAGAGGTAGCCGAACATCCTGTATACGCTCCTCAACTGACCATTGACTGTCATGGCGTCTAAGGCAGGGCCAATTCCAAAACTGCACGAACAAAACGTAACAGAAGTTCGTTCGAAGCCGTAAATTTCGTCTTTTGTTTATTATATGCGCAAGCTTGGCTACTTGTTATTCAATGGAAATAATTGTTTCGCGAAATAGCGAATAATCCGAGGCCACGCGATCTCAAAGTGACAAACAAAAGTAATCGATTGATCGGGAAGTAACGCGCGGAAGTGAATTAATTGCAGAACGGGAATGCTGCACGGTCGTTAATCGAATCGAGTTCTCGTGCGTCGAGGACTTGCTTCAACGAGCAAGGGAGCAGAAGTTGCGGAGCGTAACGAGTCCTATCGGCGCAAGGGAGGGACAAAAAGGGTGTAGCGCGCGAAAGTTAGTTGGTTTTCAAGTTACTCGTACTCGAGCGTCGTTCGTAATTGTCGTAACAATTGAAATTATGTGGCGTACGCGGTCATGAACAATTGCAACGAAAACGAAGCTAAGTTTCCCCGACGACGCTTCCGGGAAGCGCGGTTAAGCTGACTCGCGTGGCGAAACCGAGCAAACTATTTATCGCAGCTTCGGGACGCACGCAGATTCACGGGGACAGGAGCACGTCGGGCACATGGCCAAAGTTGGAGAATCGTCTACGGAAATTGTCCGTGGATCAATCACGATAATTGCTGCATCCGTCGTGCAGTTTGGCCTGTCGATCTACTCGGCGATTCTGTGTCGGACCCGGATCGGGTGGCGGTATGATTCGGATGTTATTCGTAATGGAATCCCCAATCTTTCGTTTTTTAAATTATAGACAAATCTCGAGATAAAATGTTTGCTTATATTTTCGCGCATATTAAATAATATACAGTGAGTGTAAAAAGTATTCGTACACTAGTCAATTTGAACAAAAACTTTGCAGAACTTTGTTTATTACAAAAGTATGTTAACAAAAACATACATACATATTCTTAGAAATCTCTGGAACAAATGTCATTAACAACAAATTATTTATTTATATTTATTATGAAAATATTAACAAATTTCCAGAAATTTACCTAAAATATACGCGTAATAAGTATTCGTATAGTCTTTGATTCGTAACATTCCACATAGAACGATTACAAGATAATCCATGATATGTAAACATACTTAGCATCAGTATGGCTGGAGACGCTGTCGGTATAGGTAGTATCACAGACGAGATATATGAATAGACCTTTCACGTAATGTAATTTTTCGGCCGGAGTTTCTGGGGTCCCGGGACCCCATTACCATTTTCGTGTCACTCGCAACGTTATCAACAAATTCAGAAATTAACACAAGAGGAAGTGAGACAAAAAATAAAATTACATAAATTTTATTATTTTTTAACGGAATTAAAGCTGTAGGGTCTATCATTGGACATTAATCGATTAATTTCATTGGAGAAATCAATCGATTAAGAGTATTTAAAAATTTCATTATGGTATTTTGCTTATACATTGTATACGCCTACATAGATCGAATTTCGGCTGTGTTAAGAGCAAGAAGGATAGACTGACATTCGCCGCCTTTCTCGAATCTTCGAAGAGATACGAAACGCCAGAACTCATATACAAGGTGGTTGGCATCAGTGTGTGTAAGTGGTGGGGCAGCTCCCTTTGGGCACGGGTCTGCCATCTGATAATACTGTACTGTCTTTTTCAATCCCCCCCATAGTCAACTCACATGTATTTACGCACACACTACAGCTGGCTGTCCATCAATACTAATTCAGTGCCTAGTTTCTCAACTGACTGCCATCCATGAGAAGAGGCCGCTAAAATCACCTCCGAATTTTCAGGTCGGTATGGCAGTCAGATTCGGCCGCGAAAGTCCATAAGGTGAAAGGTCTATTCATATATCTCGTCTGTGTTTCAAGCCTGTTCAAAATATTGTTGACGGGGGTAGGTGCAGACATTTTTCTGCAAAACACAAAAAATTTCAAATCGTTCTGGAAAAATTATTTTTGGTTGTGGAGATGTACTCTTCCAAAGTGGAACAAAATGTTAAAAAGATCATGCATCAAATTGTAAGGGGCTCCTCGTAAAAAGGCTTTAATCTTCGTAATGGATCGGTTTTAATGGGTCGATGATCAACAATGACTAGCTTATGGTCACTAGTGGTCAACAGTGAGGTTGACATCGAGGTCAGCATTCCAGTGAGGAGCCAGAAATGGTCAAGAGGTGGGACCAATCGAAATAGTTTCTTCGTAGACAAGCCAGTCTTAACTGTTAACTCCAGCTTTGGCTCTGACTGGTCTCCCCACCCTTCCATCACCTTAGACGTATAAGCAGGGTCACTGCGAAGAATTCTTCAGTCGCGTCGCGGATTCGGGAGTGTACAAATCGCCTGAAGTGAACCGGGGACCTCTGCTGGCCGCTGCTGACCACTACTGGCCAGCGCTGACCATGGCTGACCAGGGCTGACCAATACTGACCACTACTGACCACTACTGACCAGTGCTGGCTCGCGTTCCTGCCACTACTGACCACTACTGACCACTACTGACCAGTGCCGGACGGTGATGACTACGGTAAGAACTGTTTAAAAATTCTCTCCCCTCTTCTATTCTATCGTTTGATACCAATTTCGTTTCAATGAACTGACTTTGCCTTGCTTGCCTAACTGACGTTGCTATAATATGAATATTTTCTTACTTTACAGCTGATCCAGTGGTAACTACCCTATATACTGACAACAAGTAGTAAGTCCACTCCACTTATTTATATTTTATTATTTTTATTTGTTTGTTTGATG